GAACATTGTTCATTATAAAGATATTTAATGGGTTAAAATCAAACGTTTTATTGCACAACTGCTCTGCTGGAAGCGTATAAATGCATGTCGTTGCCAAGTTGTTGCTAACGAAAAAATGTGAATTATAGGGTAATACGCCCGCGCGCGATCCAAAAGCGGGGAACACATAGGTTTGTCGCGTCAAAGGAATCTGTTGCCGAGTGATCTCCTTCTCAATAATACCTCCATGGTAGTAGTAGCCTCCACTCTTCTTTGCCTAGGCTAGGCCCACACGTCGGGGAGTCTTGAAAGTAAGTAGGGTAGGTCTAGGCCCTAAAAGGAGACCGCCGCACGATAGCGCATAATAAGGCTAGGCGTTACGGTTACGCCACTGATGGCAAGTACAGTATTATTTAGTTGCCAATCAATAAATTATAAATAAATACAGAGCAGTGTGAGTATACATTACAAATGACATATCCCATACAAAAATTTTCTATAGAATTCTATAAAGAAAATTCTATTCTATACAATCTCTAAAGAATATCTATACAATTTCTAAAGGATTTCTATACAATTTCTAAAGGATTTCTATACAATTTCTAAAGAAAAGTGGCTTAATTCTCTATAAGAATCTATAGAAAATAACAAGTGTTTCTATAGAGAGTAATGCTGTTATAATTTCTTTTCTATAGAAAACTATTATTTTCTATAGAAATTGACAATACTTCTATAGAAAAGAACAGCATTTCTATAGAAATTATTGCAAATATATAATTTTTTCTATAGAAAACCATGTAAATCTCTATGAAAAATAACAGCAAATCTATAGAAAGTAACACTGTTATAATTTCTTTTCTTTAGAAAACTATTATTTTCTATAGAAATTCACAATACTTCTATAGAAAAGAACAGCATTTCTATAGAAAGTAATGCTGTTATAATTTCTTTTCTATAGAAACTATTATTTTCTATAGAAATTCACAATACTTCTATAGAAAAGAACAGCATTTCTATAGAAATTATTGCAGATATATTTTTTTCTATAGAAAACTATATAAATCTATGGAAAATAACAACATTTCTATAGAAATTATTGCAGATATAATATATTTTCTATGGAAAACTGTATTATTCTCTATAGAAATGTACAGAATTTCTATAGAAATAATGCTGATATATTTTCTATAGAAAAAAAAACAGCATTTCTATAGAAAATAACGCTGATAAAATTAATTTTCATAGAAATTCACAGCACTTCTCTAGAAAATAACGCTGATATAACTTTTTTTATATCATTCGATCACTAAAAAACTGTTTTCACGAATCAAAAAAAAAAAGTGTAAAAATAAAAAAATCATAGGCCTACAAGATGATTGTAATGTACAAATGTGTTTTGGTAGTTCATGGCTGGAAATGTTTGAACCCACTGTACAGAAATCTCAACAAAATGTATTCATTCTCAAGATCTTTATTTAGTGACATATTAAACATATATATAACAGGTCAAACAACCATACTAAAATAATGTTTAAATTGCATCATCTAAAAGTAGAAAAAAAAATGGATTCAATATCTTAAAAGAATAAACTGCATTGAATTTTACTAGCATTATGAAGTCACACGATGTAGCACTAGTGGTATTGTGCAAACATATAAAGATTTATAAAAATAATTTTACAGTACTGTATACTGTATAATAGCTGTATTTACAGTAAATTGCAGGCCTATATAAATTATTATAAATATATTAAATAACATCAAGGTACTGTAAGCGATATTGATAAGGGTAGATGAAAGAAAAAGTTTTATATATTTTTATATACTATTAAAGTACAGTATTAGATTTAACTTTACACAAATTTAATAGATGTGAAAGACTCAAAAAAGAAATTCCAAAACATAAGGTGGATAACCCTGCACTGTATGGACCATTCATAATTATCAACAAATGTATAAACTTTCCTAAGAGGGAAAGGGCCTGGTACTAAATACAAAATTAAATGAAAGGAATTTACAAAAGCTTAAAATATTGATTGAAATCGGTTTTCTAAATTTAATAACATGTCAATATGGATATATTTAAACCTAATTATGTATCATGTACCCATTGAAAAAAGGGCCATAGAGAACAGTATTGCAAAATCAACATTTTCCATGAATGTACACTTTTTAAAGGGGTTGAGGTGGCAAAAAAGAGTACACTTTTAATACACTATGTTTACAATTGTGATTGGCCCCTATGTTTAAACTTTAAAGAAAAAATATACTCAGGTACTAAACAGAGAGCTACAAAATAAGATACAGTACTGGAATAATTGCTACTCACATAAATAAGAAAATATTGATTTCATGTATATACAATAATATGGCAAGACAAAAATATTTAAATAATATTTTAAGAAAATATGACAAGGGTGGATATAATTATTGATGTGGAAGTAGCATTTCTATTTAATAAAGCCAAGCTCTGGAGGACATAAATTTGTTGATATGTTGTAGAACTAATCTTTCTAAGCCTCAAAGTATATTTGACAAAAAACTTGGAAGCAGTTTAATGAGAGAGATACAGATTTTTGAATATTTAAAAACTGGGGAAAAGTAAGGAGGGAAAAGGGTGATTATGTCTCTTTTCCCCCAGTTTTTAAATATTAAAAAATCTGAATCTCATTAATCGCTTCTAAGTTTTTCATCAAATATTTTTTTTGGGTTTAAAAAAAAATCAGTTCTACAACATAAAAAAAAAAGCATAACTTTTCTGAGCCTAACTTTAAGACGGCCTACACACTGAAACATCAAATATAATAAAATACTACCACAAATCTAATATCACTAGAACAAAGTTTGGAATTAAATTTATATAACGAAATTTAAAAACAAAAATGCATACATGGTATTCCCAATTTTTAGGCTTGTTCATTTTCTTTATTCTGTTTGACAGAGACTGCCTCAAAAGAGTGGTTGATGCCGCAGGATACTTCTTATCAGTGAAATCTGGGGGTAAAAAAAATGCCAAAAATTTGAATACTCTTATAGGCTTCTAAATCGAAAACTCATAAACAGGCAACCACCAAGAGTAATTTCGGTGCAATGTCTGAAATTAGTTACGGTAATCTCTAAAGATATGCAGATACCTTAAAAGTAGTGGTCCAATAAAAGTATTATTTCATATTTGTTATCTTGTACAAAATCCAAATATAATTTTAATATAAGTATTCCACTTGTAGCAAAATATTTTCTTCATTAACTGTCTAATATTAAAGTTTCTTCCTTCAAGTGCTATGCAGAACATATACAGTAAGATGTAGCTACTGTGTAAGTTAAATCAGTAATAAAGATGGGCTCCCTTTTGATGGTTATTATTTGGTTACAAAGTGACAATGCAAACTTTCAGATTAAAATTTAAAGAAAAAAAATCAATGTCTAACCCAAATAAAAAAGCATTACATGTTGATGTACCATTTATCTTTTGAAATATAAATCCCTTATTACAGTACACAAACCTGCAGTATCTTCATTTAAAAGGTAAAATACAAACTTATTTAACAAATTACCTACCTGTTATGGCAGTAATTCAGATGGGATTCAAACGCGCTTTCTCTACTTATGTTCCACATGTGCATTGTTTTTCTTTCCTATCATAGATCCTTTTCTATAAGTAAACCATGGCCAATGTCAATCTATTGTAAGATAGATAATTATTTACTATTTATTAGTAAACTTTCCTCTTTAATTATAGCGTAATTGAAAACTTCCTATGTGTAGAATATTAGTATATTAAGTTCCAGCTATTGATGTTTTTGGGCATGACTTGTGTGGGTGTCGCATTTTGAGCAACGCAGAAAATTTTTTACACACTGTACAATAAAAATTATAACACTATGTATCTTTTTATAAATTATAGGCCTATATTGTTTTATTGGTAAACAGTGTAGTAATGTGATGGTTAAATGCTTTAAATGTATATAATTAGAAATTAAAAAAAAAACTTTAATTTCTTTCTGAAATTCGAAATCATTATCGGCAGACACTATCATATATTTTGTATTCATGTCATGTAAAAAAGTTGTACATAAAACATATATACATTTCATCTTTCATTTATTTATTCGACCATAACTTCCCCGACGAGTATAAGCTATACATTTCATCCTTCATTTTTGTGTGAACATCATGCTATCATGCAAGAAAAATAAATCTAAAGTTCAAACATATCAACAAACGAAATGAAGTTGTATACTATACAGTAAATAAACCATCAAACGAAATCAAAAAATTAATTTTATTATGGAACTCTAAATCATTATTGGCGGGGCAGTATATTATTCATGTCGTCAGAGTTGTACATAAAACACAAGGCGCATGTGTAAAATATGTTCTCATTTTATTCACCAATTCTCAACAATAAAAATAAAAGTGATGAAATAAAGTTGATACCGGTACTATACAGTAAATATTTTTGCGTGAATAACATGTCAACACACAAGAAAAAATTTATCAAAAATTCAAACATATTAACAAACGAAATGTCATCATAGTTGTACATAAAATATTCTTGGTTTTATATGTTATATTTTTATACTGGTACATAAATTCTTAATTATTTTGGCCTACTGTCTCAACCATCAGACAAAATCAACAAATGTATGAATGACATACTTTATTCATTATCACGCAAGACAAATAAATTTAACGTACCAACATCAAATGTATTGATACAGTATACTGTACTGTTTTAACGTTATGTTTTTATACTGGTAAATAATTAATAATTCAGAATTTAATTATTCACTTTAGGCCTAGGCTTACATATTGTCTCCTTTTTGTTACTGATGTATCGTATCCAGCTGTTGTATGACTACGTTCTTCTCATTGACAGCTGCTGTGTATTCGGCGGTCTTTTTGGCGTTCCATACATTTGGCGGGGCGGCCGAAACGATTGGCGGCCGAAATGATCGAACACCCCTGTGGGGGTGAGGAAATAGTGGGCGAGGTCAGGCTTTGCTCAAACCCTCAACAAAGCGTTCCAGGGGGTGGGGGGTTTCTGGGGGGTGTTTGTACCCATGAAAAACATGACAATTACCTAATCGATTTTAAAGTCTACCAATACGGTATGTAGAAAATAATTAGGCCTAGGCCTATTCAGGGAGTTGTTATAGTGACTTTGTCTCCCCGACAAATTGTGGTTTTTCTCCCCTAATCAGACGACCAGCTCTCCCCTACGAGGGGCCATCTGGTGCCACCCCAGTTTATAATAATTGAGTAATGCATGCATTTTTTGCCGGGAATGGGGCTGAAAACGCAATTCCTTATGATGATAATGACAATGATATATATATTTATTATATACAGTATATTCTACAGGCCTACACTAAAGTTTAGGCCTGTTTTTCATGTTCATTCACATGATTATTACTGTATATTGAAAAGAAAAAAGAAATAGAAATGAATGACAAAAGAAAATAGAAGAGAAACATAAAGGAAAATTACTTAGAAAAATAAGAAAAGAAAGGAAATGAAAGTCAAACCTAAAGAAGGAAAAGAAAAATGTAAAAGAAAAGAAGCAAAATATATAAGAAAAAGAAAAATGTAAAGAAAACAAAGAGAAAGGAAAGAATAAGAAATGTAAAATTGAAAGAAAGGAAAATAAAAGGCAGGAAAAGGGTAAGAAGGAACAAAAAAGGAAAATGTATTTAATGGTAGTTAGGAAAGGAAAGAAATGAATAGTAATAGAAAGATAAAATAAAGCTAGGCAATCATAAAGTTTATAATAGTTATATTGTTATATTTATACTTAGTGAATCGTTCATAATTGATCTCACTTATGCATGGTTGTAGCCATAGAAAACTCAGGGTGGGTGATAGAAATTTTAAGGGTGAGTGATAACTTGGTAAACTCTAAATTATAAGAGTGTACTTTAATAATGGAAAAGTGGGTTAATAAAGGTGGTGAAGGGCCATGAAATTATCTACGAAGACTTTGTATCCTTTGTATTGTATTTTAGTATGTCACTGTTTTTATTATGAACCTTGGAAAACAAATTTCATTTATTTTTTTGTATATGACAATAAATTGGAACTTGAACTTGATCTTTAGACTGGGTGGAAAACTTCAAGGCCCACCATAACTTAATGCCTGCTTAAGGCTGTAAAAGTGCATAGAGGTATTGTACTCACGCTATAAAAGTATCAATTTTTTAGGTAACCATATTTTCATCCACTGTATTATGTTTGTGGGCACTGAATACTACACATAAATTTTTATTGAACAGAGTGTGAAAACTTTAAAAATCAATCAATGAATCTCTGTTTTTTTTTTCAGTCCAAATCTGTGATCATGACAACAAACATACCAGTGCAAGGTTCTACAGCTCCAGTAGTTCTGTACCAACCATGTGCAGAATACCGTTCGTCAACCTTTAACTCCAAGGCAGCGCTAATAACCGGCTATATGCAGATTGGCCTAGCAGTGGTATCCCTTGCATTTGGTGTGGCTTGTATATTTTCTGACACTTTTGCTGGTTATGTTGCTGTTCCAATCTGGGGTGCACTTGGGGTAAATTTGTTTAAAATAATAAATATACAATCCTCACAGTCACATCATAATAAACTTCTACCATTCATTCTTCTAATCCTGTGGAAATAAAACATCCTCAGCTCTCCACTTTGATTGGCAGTTATTAGTTAATACTTATTCACATTACAAT